CATGTAAATGCCTAAATCAAACTGGGCTGCATTTCTCAAAAGCACTGTAAGCCTAATTAGATCGTAGAACCACTGGTACCAATGGTCTGCACGATCACTTAGCTCACAATGCCTTTGAGAAACACACCCGATTGAGGTTGTTTCGAGTTAAATTTAAAATTTAGATTGGTAGGGGTGGTGTAGACCTTAAATACTCATATAAATGCTTGAATCTGACTATTTTCTCAATTGGATTCAAAAATACCTTGTGCATGACCATGATCTTTATGTTTACAGACTGTCAAAAATTACAATCATACTCACTGTTAGTTCCGGTGACATTATAGCGATGGCTTTCTCCTGTTCTGTATGTTGCGTCTGGGCTCTGCTCATACGCTGAAGTTTTGTTTGGAATACATAATGCACATGTAAACGAATTTGTGAATAGGACATACTTACAAAGTTTAGGGTTCATATAAACAGCACTTTAGAATCTGAAATCAGATTGAATTCATCAAGATTGACAAACCTAAAAAATATTACCATTTATCTAACCAATCTGAATTTGTGCTTTAACCAAGGTTACACAATGAACTTTCACTCAGACATGGTATTTCAGTTTTACTGACATCCATGCATCAAGACCTGACCCAAGGCGAACATTTTGTTTTAAGTGTCTGGCAAAAAGATAGTTTAGTCAGTGTATTTAATACCTATTCGCACAATCCAATACATTGGAATTGCCAAGAATTTTCCTAGAAGCAATTATTTCATCTAGTCTTAAATTGAAAACAGTCAAGAGGGATGTAGTCTTGTTGGCATAGAAACCAAGTTACAGGGTTTAATTACACTTTGGCTAGTTATGCTTTTAACGCAACAACAACTGGATGAGGGACCTTTCAGCATTCTCTAAGGCAATTGCTTTATAAATTTCAATTAGGATGCTAATATAACCTTATTGAATAGCATTGTAGTGTAACTGCATACAATGAGTCCCAGAGAAAACAATAACAACAACAAAAAAATACTAGGAACACTTGTGAAAAAAACATGAGGGTATTGTATGAAAGCTAGCAGCTGTTCCTCTGCTGATAAAACAGGTAAGTCTTTAGCTGGGGACTGTTTTCATGTAGCGACGTGGGTGACAGGGTGAAAGTGTGCCCTACGGCATTGCAATACTGAGACCTAACATGGTACAGAACAAGTGGGTGGTCATTGTTTTAAGAGGAATTTAAAAAAGGTGACAGACTTACCACTTCAGGGGGGAAAAACACATCTGTGGTGTATATATAGATGCATGTATATCTTTGTAGTAGGCCTATCTGTATTCTGCTTCTAACCTTAAACCAGATTTAAAATTTCACTATGACATAGCCTATATCTTCTGGCATCTCTGTTCAACTTCATCAAATTTTTTGAGCAACCAAGTAGCTTATAGATACTTGGAAGATGCGTTTACTCACTTGAATGTAACTATGGAAAAGGCTACAACTCTGAATTTAAATTCTTTGATAACTTTTCCCCCAAGCATATAAGCTTATTTTTATTGCTGATTTTCTATGACTTTATAGGTGTTAGTTTATATAAAGGTACATTTTAATATTGTGTTTTGTCATGTTATTGGTGGATTGGTGACATGGGAACTGTGGGTAGCCGTGGGACATTGGATACAGTTGTAATCAAACAACCTATTTGATTTAAGGGTTTATTGGCAAAATGTACAGACAACTGTTTGCAATGAACAAATCAAACAAAAGTAACTGAAATAGCTCAACACAACAAATGTTTCAAGTTGTTTCCCCAAATTCAACTGAAAGTGCAACTTTTAATGACTTCTGCAGTCTCAAAATTATTCCACCCCTTCATGGCAAGCATCTTTAGTACTTAATAGAGCACCCTTTTGCTGGTATAACCTTCTGCAAACGAGATGTATGACCAGACACCAGCTTCTGGCAGCCCATTCCTCTTAGCCCATTCTTCATGAGCAATGGCCTCCAGTTCAGTAATATTCTTGGGTTTGCGTGCTGCAATCGCCTTCTTCAAATCCCACCAGAGATTTTCTGTGGGATTCAAGTCAGGTGACTGATGGCCACTGTAGAATATTCCAGGACTTCTTCTGCAACCAAGCTTTGGTGGAATTTGAGGTATGCTTGGGATCATTGTCCTGTTGGAAGGTCCAATGACGCCCATGCTTCAGCTTCCTGACTGATGACATGACGTTATCTTGCCTTCCACACACTGCAGGTTTCCAGTGCCAGAGGATGCAAAGCAGCCCCAGAGCATCACAGAGCCCCCACCACGCTTAAAGTCCCTGTGAACCGGAAGTTACAAACGACTTTTCTCCAGTGTTGTGACGCATTTCCAAGAGAAACGGAATACTAAATGAGGCAAAATAGTGGGCGTGGCTTTTTTTTTCAACTAGCACCTGATTGGATCTAGAAAAGTAGGTGTTTTCATTCAGCCTGTCTACTGTCAGTTGGAGGGGCGTGGTTACGGATGTTAAGCAGACACCCAAACCGTCAAACATACGTCATCAGGGAAGGTCCTCCAATGCAGAGGGGAGGGGAAATTTCAGATTTTGATTAAAGATTACGAAGCCAAAAAAAATGTTTGTGTGGATTGACTTGCATGGATGAATTGTTCACCACAAAACGATCAATTTAGGCAAACAAAGTAAATATGGTCAATTTTGAATTCATGGGGACTTTAACTGTTGGCAGCGTGTTCTTTTCAGCATATATTTCATTCTTCTTCCTCCAGACATACCGCTGATCCATAGGGCCAGAAAGTTCTGTTTTGCTCCATAGAACAGATTTTTTTGTGTGTTTTTGGGTCAGTAGTGGTGTACGTCTTGGAGTTCTGGCATGAAAACAGCATGCATTTAGTGCCTGTGCGAGCTGAAACCTCAGTGCCTGTTGCCACCAAGTCTTGCTGCAGGTTTTTTGCAGTCACTCGAGGGTTTTCTGAACCGGCCTTCTCAGAAATCTGTTTGCAGCCATTGATAGCTTCTTTTTCTGCCCCGTCAACAGAATCAACATATTTTAAGTTTATGAAACATGTCTTAAAGATATGTCGCTGCAAGGGGGAGGGGAAGTTATTCTGATTAAAGATTAGGAGGGCACATTATATATATACGGTATATATATATATATATATATATTTTTTTTTTAAATAATCATGTGCACGGATAAATAACTTATTATAAATACTGCAATAATCCATAAAAATAATAATTTTGATTTCATGGTGGCATTAACTCATGGTGTCATTTGCATGGCACGACTGGTGATCTCAACATGGCAGCACCCGCTCCTTGTAGAAAAAAAAAGGTTTTTGTGACTTTTGTGTTATAAGTATTTATCTCATGTGGGTGAGATTATAATCTCAGTTGTTTTGAGAAATATCATGTTGTTAATTTATTTATACGCTAAACTTTTTTAATTAGCCAAAAATTACTATGAGTACATCTTTAACACCTTCGAGTACACCTTTTTTTTACTGAAAACCTCTCTCTCACACGTTTTATAGGGTATTTCCATAGACATAATGATTTTATACTGTACAAACTTTATATTCTATCCTCTTACACTAACCCCTAAACAAACCCATCATAGAAATCTTAATAAAGTTTTTACATTTTCAAAAAACATCACTTGATTATGATTTATAAGCTGTTTTCCTCGTGTGGACCAAAACATTTCCCCATAAGGATAATTTGCCCTCTTTGTGGGGACATTGGCCACACACACACACACACACACACACACATAGGCTATAATACATAGGCTTGGCTATACGCAGACAAACACAAATAGAAATCTTAAGGATGATTAAGAAACGCTTTTAATAAATAACAGGGTGAAACCTCCCGATGCGATTCTCCAAAACACGCTACATGCGAAGGTTTAAACCTGGTAGGTTGTCTCTTTAAATCAGCTCTGCTCTGCAGCGCTGATGTGCCCGCGAGCTCAGATGGTTACAACCATTTCCACCTCTGCAGTGGGTAACTTTAATCGCGCGCGCTCAACAGCGCCGCTCACGCGACCGACGACATTGCATTGTTTCCACACGCATTCTCTCTCTTCTTCAGATTGGTAGATCCCACCAGACGCCTTTTGGGGGGTGGGAAGAATAAATTTACCTAGGCTAGAATTCATCCCACGATATTTCTGAGGTACTGTTTTATTTTTCTCCCCCTCATTATTATTGCTTTAATAGTCCATCATCTCACGTGTTCCCGTTAACGGTGGTGAGAGGAGAACTCTGACCACCACTTTTGAGGAATAAAGTTGAGGTTGGGCCTGTTGCTGATGGGATCTTTTCAGATTTCAACAGAACAGATCGCATAACAAATCAGAAATAATCCAAAAGGTCTGTTTACGACTTCAAACGCCTTCAAATAGTACATTTCACAGCTTAGAGGTGACATATTAATACTAAATAGGCTGTCATGTGTTCATTTTTTTGTTTTTGTCAAATAGGCTCCTGATTACAACAAAACACATAATGTGAACATTTAAGTCATCAGGTTTAATTTCCACGAGTCTTATAGCCTAACATTTTCATTTCGAGTCGGACATGAGGAAAGAATTACCTTGGGGTTCAGTAAGTGAGTCAAAATTTCAGTAACAGCTCCCAATGAGCAAAAGTGTATTGATTAAATATAATGAACCGGCTCATAAGAGTCATTTCGTTAGAGAATTGGACTAGCTTCTTGTGATATTTTTGAATCACTAAAAGATCCGGCTCATAAGAGTCTTTGGTTAAACATAGGTCGCGCTGTATCATGTCTCCTGCTGATTCAGTGGCGGTGTTGCAGTGTATGGTAGTACGGGAAACACTGTCAGAGTATTTCACCGCGGTGTTCCTTTTGCATCGGCGGAACAATGCAGATTCGAGAATCGTTACCGGAACCGAACGTCATGAAAATCATTTGGTTCTGCTATTTTGTTTGATAAAATGGAACCGGTTGATCGGTTCTCGCTTCACAACCCAAGACCTGATATTTGTCTTCCTAGAGATGCATGGAGTAGCCTATTACATGCGCTCACGCTCGTCAAGCCAGATAACGGGACGTAAAGATGGGGTACGACACCAGTTGCTCTCTTTAAAATAGGTAAGGATATTTGCAGTAGGCTAAACGTTACGTTTGAGATAGTAGCCTATATAGCCTTGGCAATCTCGTTCTGATACTGCAAGTGATATTCACAAAATAGGGTAGGCATGAATTCACGCACGTTCATTTAAAAAACATTTTTCCGATGAAAGTCTTGAGTGTGCCATTTTGGTAAGGTAAGGTAAGGGGTGTTGGCTATGTTTGCTCGTCATAAGGTTACGATTTTGGAGACACTATAGTACCGTTCCTAGGGCTCTGAAATAGCAGCAAGGCTATTATAAAACCTTTACTACACTGCCTACGCTGTGAAGTGGTCGTCTTGCTCTTTTCTCGGATGCTTGTGCTTTAACATTTGCACGAGTGAAATTTACAAAGACTTACGTCACGGCGAATGCGCACGTGCCCAACGAGAATTGCCGCAAATGACTTAAGTTCAATAATTCTGAGCCGACTTTTAACAAGGAATGGTTCGTGTTGATGTTCGCTTTGTTTTTTTTGCTTTTTTTATCGGATGTTCTGCAGCCTCTCCTGTCGGAGAATGACCCCCCCTCAGCGCCTTTCGGAATGCCGTTTCTCTCCGCGAGCACAAGGGCCACGCGCCAGATGGCCACATCATAACCGACTGTGATACTTGATACCATTGCACTAAAGCTGGACCTTAACTTTGAGGATCTGATGGTGAGTGATTCCAAGTAAATAATTTATATTTTTAGTTTAGTTTAAGGCTGTTCATGTTACGAGATAAAACTTTGCTGTCTCTTCATCTCTTATCACACACAAACTTTCGATGATGACCAACTGTTTTAGCTATAATGGCAGTGAATTGAGAAGGGTTTTTTTTTCTTCACAAAAACAAACGGGCGTTTGCGGTGGGCAGTAGCATTGATCTCCGATGTGATATACGAAATTAAAGCAATGCCTCACAATGGCATCGCATCATATATTAACGTTGCATTTTCTCATGAGCAGAGAAAGAGGATCCATTTGTTGTAGTGCCAGACGCTTGCTCAATCTCGCCGCACTGTTAAATTAACTTTATACAATTACGTATAGTCGATGCACTGTCTTTGAATCTCTGAATATGGTAGAGATTGTGTAGAAGGGATTTAGTCAGAGGGTAACCGCACTGGTGGCTCTGGAAGCTGGAGTGCGCGTGTGATGAATATCAATTGTCATTGTCAGCTAATCATCAAGGGGCTGTGGCGTGTCCGTGGCATAGGTTATCCCTGAGGCAAAGGCGATTTTACTTTGTTTCCCGATTACAATGTTTTTATCTGTGCCTGCACCAAAGTATAGGCTACTCTTGGTTCTATGACGTGAATAGGTTTTAATTGTGTGCGTTATGACGTCTAAATTGGCTGTTTGACGTCGGTTGTCGCCGCTTCCTCTTTTCAGATATCTAGCCAATCAGGTCACTGGTATCAGCCAACGTTTTTTTTTTTTTTTCACCGTACAGAAAGCACGGCAGATCACAGCAGCACCACGGAGAGTGCCTTTAGTGCTTTATCTGTTTTAAGCACCAAGGACAGAGACCCGAACCAACTAGGCCTACAGTCAATGACAATTAAGTGTTAAAAATGGCCATGATCTAATAATTTAACAACCTCGATCTCAGCAAGGGCGTAGGTTTGCTTTGAAAATAGGGACATATTGCAGGGAGGCAGGGGAAAGATTAAGATGAGATTATAATCTTTTTAAACAAACCACAGTTTAAAACAGCGAGTCACACAGGAACCTGATTAGAGTGTTGATGTTGAGAAATGCCACTGCGTGGGTGTACTTCATGTTAAAAATAATATTTATTCTATCATATCACAAGGCTCATTTATATACTTTTCTCAAGCCCCATAATTTTATATATTATAGCTGACCTATTCTGTTAATGCATTCAGTTTTTTTTTTTTTTAAATGAACCTGTTCATTACATTAAGCATTATCCTTCTGTCTGGTCAGTGGTGAACCTGATCTTATAGGCAATAGAGGGTGCATGTTTGGCACACAGTATACTGACCAACATATGTCATTATTATTATTACATTTATTGAAACAAAGTAGTTTGGGCCCAAATATCAGGGCATTTTCCTACTATTCCTATCTAAATGTATGTCTATAGATCTCAAAATGCATTTTAAATGTAGTCAGCAGCAGGTTTCCCAGTGCTGCTTTTATTTATTTATTCAGTCTTCTATGTAGTGTTCAGTGTGCTATGTAGTGCCTTCTATGTAGTATTCAGTGTGCTATGTAGTGCCTTTTATGTAGTATTCAGTGTGTTATGTAGTGCCTTATGAGTATGATTTTTTTATTGTAATTAATATCCCAGCTTCTACTGTTTTCTAGATATTAGGTGAGCAGGATCACCCTGAAGATATTTAAATATTAATAGATATAAATAAATAAATGAACATTAAATATTGATTATTTCATTAGCGTTCTTGTGGAGGCAGTGGTGAGACAGAACACAGGTTAAATAGGAAACCAATATCCTGGGTGAGCGGTCAGTTGTACAGCATTGTCCGTATCCAAAAATATCTGATTGCTGAATGCTGCGATTTGACCAATCAGAAATGAGTTTTTCAGAGAGCTGTGTAAAAATATGAAGTATGTTCTCCCGAGCACCACATTATCCATTAGACCTTGCAAAAGAGCTTTTTCAGATTACAGAGGACATGAAAGTGCAAGGGATGTGCAGAGCAGCTCTCTTAAACAGCACACAAGTGCATACTTTCCACAAGGATTACAGTGAAGATCAAGCCCCCTACCACCAACATTGCAGATGAAAATTGAATTGCATACTTAAGTTAGTTTAATTATAGATCATATGGTAATTCATTTTAGTTGTTTATACGGTAGGGAAATCTTGAATATTAAACAGTATTTGTAGATAGAATACAAAGACGGTTGTTATAAAATGGGTGTTTTACTTCTTTTTGTTTTGTGCTGTGTGTGTGAGAGAGAGAGAGAGAGAGAGAGAGAGAGAGAGAGAGAGAGAGAGAGAGAGAGAGAGAGAGAGAGAGAGAGAGAGAGAGAGAGAGAGAGAGAGAGAGAGAGAGAGAGAGAGAGAGAGAGAGAGAGAGAGAAGGGGAGAGATTGTGTGTGTGTGTGTGTGTGTGCATGCAAGCCTATGGGCCTTGTGGATGCATCTGCATGTGACTTTTATATATTGAGCCATGTATGTTTGCAACATTTGTACACATGTGTAAATGTGAGTGTGCACAGTTGGTATATGTTTATGAATATATCTGTAAACGCCTGCAACAAGCCCAAACCGTCATATTCTGTTGGAAAGATGAGTCTGTGCACTGGAGCAGACTGATTGACCAAGTTTTGTCTCTAAGATAAGCATGCTCACTGAGGCACACAGAAGGAGAGGCCAAGAACACTCGTAATGCTCAAGATGCATCAGAGACCTAAATATGGAGGAATCACACCAATCTTTATAACATCATATTAGTATGAACAAGTTTTATGAGATTGAACAGTTTCAGCTTTGTAGCATGCTGTAAAGACGCTGTATTGATCAATCAATTTCAGTGCCTCATTAAATATCACTTTACTCATACATCTGTGAGAAAAGTGTCAATCACTTTGGCCCCTGAACGTACAATATACCCTAATCAATTTAAGAGCTATAGGCTGAAGCTATTTCGCTAATCATATTGAATCCAAGCACAGTCTGTCTGAGTGGGGAAGCATGGTGTCTTAGTGACAGCAGCCGGTCCTTTCCCATTGTTTCACTGCCTCCATTTGCTTTAGAATTGGATCTGTCAGTTTTCATATGATCACCCTCTCAAAACTCCCAACAATTTGTCTCTCAATGGCACATATTTTAAAACTGATTTTAGATGTCATGTTTTATCAGTTCTTGCATCCACATAGTATATTTAGTTTTCTTTTTCCAGGTCTGTGATATTGTGATGGCATTTACACTTCTGCCACCAAATGTGCTATCGACTGGTCTGGAATGTTACTGCTTGAAGAAAGAGGGTCAGTTCGCAGAATGTTAGCAGTTCCACTGAGTCCTCTTTTAAAGGGTCATAAAACCCCAAAACACATGTGTTGAGATGTTAACAGATATGTACAGGTTGCACATCAATGAAAACAATAGCACTCATTATGTTTATTATTAAGGGAAAGATGGTTATTTTTTAGTTTTTTCTGAGCCATTTCGTTCTTCCCGTTTAAAACTCAAAGAGTGGTGATTGGCTGACGTGGCATCACTGCGTTGTATTACGCATGAGATCGCATTACAGCGGCGAATTCAAGTGTGACCAGACCGGCTCGGCGCCGTTCGTTCACCTCTGCCTGTTGCGTTGCGTTGCGTTGCGTTGCGTTCGGTCACAAATCTCATAAGTGTATGTTTCCTCAGTACAGTAGCTCAAAAGTGTTGTTTGCATTTTCTCTGTGATGAGGCCAGAACTGAAGTTTGACTACCAACACACAGAAAATATGTCTGTTACAATATTTAATATTTAACAACATTACATTAAGTATTGTCCTTCTCTCTGATCAGTGGTGAACCTGATGCATGAACCAGACGCATGTACAGTTTTCTAATGATCCTCTTCCTCTCTGCATGCTCGTTGGCTGAGACCCGAAGTGGCATCTCACTCACTCTTTATTCACTGACCTTTTTTCTACTTGCTTGCTGATTGGATTAGACTAGGCTGGAGTTCGCAGAGGCCAGTGGCCAGTTGCATAAATTGCTTAGACTAGTCTTACAAGTTAGTCATCCATTTTTTTTTTCAAGACTGGTCATAACTTTAAATCAGTCACATAAAAAGTTAGATGGGTCTAATTTGAATCCAAATAGTTATAGTGATTATCTCTAATTGGGACAGTTGTGGCCTAATGGTTAGAGACACAGGTTCGAGTCTCAGTACCGGCAGGAAATGTAGGGAGTGAATGAACTGTGCTCTCTTCCATTCTCATTACCCCTGAGCAAGGCACCTTACCCGCCGCAGCGAAATGGCTGCCCACAGCTCTGGAAGTGTGTTCACGGTGTGTGTGTGTGTGTGTGTGTGTGTGTTCAATACTCACTGCTGTGTGTGGATGGGTGAAATTCATAGCACAAATTCTGAGTATGGGACACCATACTACACGTCACTAAGTCAGACTAGTCCTTAAGACACAGTCTTTAGTTAGCGGCTGTGTTTATGCAACTGGCCCCAGATCGAAAAGTGAATTTAGCAAATCATTTGATTCAATTGTATTCAAATATACAATGTATTATTTTTATTATTATTATAAGCTATTATTTTTACCATTGGCCGATTGTTTAAAAACAGACGATGATCAGGGCCAATTTCATACTGTCAATCAAAAGGGTGCAGAAAAACGTGTGAGACTGCAACTCACACTGTGAAGAAAATCTCTCTTCTGTTGAATTTAGGGCAAGTTAACAAGACAATAACACAGTAACAGTTAGAAAATAACAGGTATCGGCAGCGGCAGATATCGTTCTGAATATTCGTCTATTGGCTGAGAAATGATGTATCGAGAGAGAGAGATGTACACTACCATTAAAATGTGATAAATGGACAGTACCATTAAAATGTTCTTTTATAATTTAATAATTTTATTCAGCTAGGATACATAAAATGTGTAATTATTGCAAACTTTTATTTCAAATAATTCAAAGTTATTTTAAAATGTGCAAATTTTTCACAATATTACTGTTTTTTTTTTTTACTGTATTGTTTTTCTAAAAGAGTTTGCACAGCAATACAATAGAAGAACCTTTCTAGTGAACAGGTCTTAGTTCTTGGTGTGAAGAACCTTTTTTTATATCAGAACCTTTTTTTATATCAGAACCTTTTTCCAGTATAAAGAACCTTTTGTGGAATGAAACCATAAATGCCAATAAAGAACCTTTATTTTTGAAAGAGTGTAATAGACTTAATAGAACAAATCTTACCGACTCCAAACTTTTGACTGGTAATGTATATAGTTTGGAAGCAACTTTTGCCTGGAAAACTTACTAGAACAGTTTTTTGACAGTGAAAAGAGTGGATGAGCAATGAAGTGTGTGTCTATGCATGGCATCTGCAGTGTCGCCTATGCTAGTGTCTAATCACCACTGACATCAGCTGGAGTTTATTTTTACCCAATCCCATTGGCAGATTGTATTTTGACTTGATAATTTGAGGATTTTTACAAGCAAATCTTTGGTTTACCTACAAGAACTTTGGCTGGCTCTACCGATGTCAAATAAATATCCTAAAGGAGTGTTCAGTGAAATTCCTAGATTTTCCTGTAGTGTGGTGACCCTGATTAGATCTTTATTTAGGGCAAACTCTGACTATAGCGTACCCCAAAGCCTTGATAAACGTTTTATGGGCAAACTGTTTGAAATGACTTTCTCTCAAATGCTTTGGGGCACTAAAGGAGTTGATATTAATCAGCATTAACTGATTAATTCTGTGCAACAGTGGTTTGATGTCTTAGGGCATTAAAGGTACGGTATCTTTGCTGAAGAACTGAGGTCAAAGGATCAATAATGTGACGCTGAGTGATGCTTTATGGGAAACTGATTAATGGGCAGCAATTGTGCTGATCTCACCTTGGATTAAAGCAGACATGCACTCTGGGAGACAGGGACACAAGTGCAAAAAATACTATGAAGCTAAATCATATACAATGCAGGACATATTTTAGGGTTAAATATATATATATATTTTTGTATGATGATTTCAATATGCATGTTGCTCTTTTCATAGCTAATACCTTCATGGACTAAATTTATATGTCCTAGTTAAAGGCTGTCTTTTATTTTTGAAATGGGCAATCTTGTAGATTTTAACATTCTGATTATTTCTTTTTACCTAAAAATAACTTGCTGAAGATTGAAGGAAGTGTTGAATGACGTCTGCATGTTATTCTCTCGTTTAAAGATGGAGACTAAAGGAAAGTGGCTGTTTTAATGTGGAGCGTACACTCTTAAAAATAAACGCTCCAAAAGGGAGTTATCGCATCGATGCAATAGACCTTATGCAGAGCGGCGCCGTGACAGGAATGAAAGTGAGGCTGTGAGGGACAGTATTACCATGTTTTCTATGGCATCCACTGTAAAAAGCAGTATAAAGCTCCTATCATCTATATTTTTCCACAGCTCATGCTGTCTGGAGTTTTTTGTCTACTGAAATTTCTCGGAAAGATATTTTTGCAGTGTTTCGTCAGCAGAACAATCCAAAACACATTAAATAACAGTTCAACCCACAGAAGAGATGTAAGTCTATCCCTCACAGCCTCTCTTTCATTCCCGTTAAAAATCAAAGATGGTGCTGCTGTAAATGTCTATAAAATAACCATTTTTTGGTTCCCCTAAGAGCCTTTCAGTGAACAGTTCTTATGTACATATATACATTTTAATAATCCAAAGAACCTTTTTCCACTATAAAGAACCTTTAGTGCAATAGAAAGGTTCCATGGATGTTAAAGGTTCTTCATGAAACCATTGATACCAATAAAGAACCTTTATTTTGAGTGTGTTTTGTGTATTGAGTGTATTTTGTCTGTTGGAGTGTAAAGAAATGCATCATGTACATCTGTGGTGCTGCTTTCCAGAGGGGAAGGAGCCCTTCAGGCACACAACAAAGGAGATCTTCGGGCTGGGTGATAAAATAGACATGCTGAAAGAGATTGATGCGTATGGGGGTGTAGTCTTTGACTCACAGGGACGACTCTCTTCTCTCCTATTGTTTTTCTTTCTTCTGGTCTCCCCCTCCCACTCACCCCTTTTTTGTTCTTCCTCTTATTTCACACCAACATAGATATAACTGTTTTACTGGTCAGTTTCTTAAATCCAACAACTTTATTCATGTTGTGCATCTGTACCATCACACACTTCATCACCAAGAGACTGACTTTTTCAAGCAGTACATGAACAAAGTGGTGTGAAGAGTCAGTTAAAGCAACCAAAGATGGACACGACCAATATGCATTAATACATAAACAAATTAGGGAAATGTGCATATACAATATAAAGACTATTGCATTTTTTAATCATTTGACATGTTCTTTGAAAAAAGTCATCTCTTATTCTGATTTTATTGACAGGATTTAAAGAGGGTGCTGTCCTTTCCTCCATATCCAGGGGATTATCTGCACCCAGTGGTGTACGCCTGCACTGCAGTGATGTTGCTCTGCCTGCTGATTTCTATCATGACATACATTGTTCACCACAGGTATGTACTATAATTAAGCTGCACCAGTGACATAAATGATTAAATAAAGCATGGATCTGAAAAAAATAACGGTTAGTTCATTAGAGTTGAGCATGCACTGATAAAGAAATTGTGACTGATATTATATCTTATACACGACAGTTCAAAAGTATGGGGTCAGTAAGATTTTTTTAATGGTTTTTGAAAGAAGTCTCTTATGCTCACCAAATACAAACTGTAAGTTACCGTACTGTGACCCTGGATCACCAAACCAGTCACAAGTAGCACGGGTATATTTGTGGCAACAGCCAACAATACATTGTACGGGTCAAAATTATCAACCCCAAATTATTATTTTTTTGCTTTTATGCCAAAAATCATTAGGCTATTAGGTAAAGATCATGTTCCATTAAGATATTTAGTAAATTTCCTACCTTAAATATATAAAACATTTATTTTTGTGAGTGAATGCAGCGCAATCGCAACACAAGTGGACAACTTTAAAGGCGATTTTCTCAATGTTTAGATTTTTTTTGCACCCTCAGATTCCAGATTTTAAAATAGTTGTATCTCGGACATTTTGTCCTATCCTAACAAACCATACATCAATGGAAAGCTTATTTGTTCGGCTTTCTGGTGATGTATAAATCTCAATTTCAGAAAATTGACCCATGTGACTGGTTTTGTGTTCCAGGGTCACAGGTGAAAACTGTAAAAGGTTTAATTGATTATTCTTATTTTTGTTATCAGTAATATACATTAGTGTGTTTTGTTACATTTTATGTCATTTAGTTAATGTTCATTGCATTATTTTAGTAAAAGTAGAGACAGTGAGACTAGAAATAATATAAAAAGAAAATGAGTCAAAACTGAGAATTGACTGAGAAGAATTGACTGTTTTATTGCTCAGAGGTTGCTCTTTCTTTCTTTCTTTCTTTCTTTCTTTCTTTCTTTCTTTCTTTCTTTCTTTCTTTCTTTCTTTCTTTCTTTCTTTCTTTCTTTCTTCTCTTTTTTTGATTACATTGGGGTTTTTCACTTTTAATGGACAGGACAGTAGCCAGGAAAGAATGGGAGAGGCAAGAAGGCAACAGCAGCAGGAAAGTACCTTTAGCTGGAAGGCAAATATTAGCACAGTGTGTGATGTTGTTGAGCTCTCTTCTGAGACATTGGAGGAGACAAATGTGAGAGATCCAGAGTCTCTAGCTTAACAGAAAAATCGAGCACAATGTGTGATGTTTTTTTTAGATCTCTTCTAAAACTTTAAAGGAGACCATTGTGAGAGTGTTAGAGTTTTTGTGAGAAGCAGGAGACCTCAAAAGTAACCTCATTTCTGTTTAGGAGAAACATTTGAGATGTTAAACAAATCTCATTTTTGATTAATAAATTATATGATTGATTTTGATTTGATAAATTAGTTTGAAATGAATCCACATTTAAATAAACGCTGGCCAATAAATATCTAAAGGACTACTGATACTGATAAATAAAGATGACTAATATTAGCCAAATGACAATACATTAATAATATATTTTTTGGTCTAGTGTCTTTCTGCAGCCAGAATTCAGTGATGTTTACTAGTGAAATGTTACATTTTACATGGTGCCATTTTGTATTGTCTTTCCTCCACTGAAAACATACAGCAGCTATTTGGAGCAACAGTACTAACACTGGAAGGTCACAGTAGGGATTGTTTTTGGGACAGACTGCCACGATAGTGCTGTGATCCTGAGTCAGACCGCCAATATTTATAGTATCATCACCCCTGACTGTCACAGTTATTTCCAGTGAGTAATGCTTGCTCTGTGGAGAGGGGGCCACTTCTAACCTTAGAGGGTCGGTGCCAAATTTAGTGAGCCACTCTACTTTGAGACACTTTGCAGACGGGGTCAAAAAGATTCTTTAGTCATAGCATTGTGCTTCAAAGGCAGTTACTTGTTCCCTTCAGTGGTAAGCTGTTGATGTATTACTCATGGCACAACTGTCTCTTCATCTGACATGTGAGTGTGTGTGTCTCTGCAGCATAATCCGAATCAGCAGGAAAGGATGGCACATGCTCCTCAACTTCCTCTTCCACACTGCCGTGACGTTTGGGGTGTTTGCAGGAGGCATCAACCAGATCAAGTACCCTGTGATTTGTCAAGTGGTAAGTCTCCCAGTTCTCTACCCTGTTATTTTGGCCTGAGCGAACCACATTATTCATGCCCTGTGTCTGTGGCTCTCAGCTCAGAGTCACTGTAGCATATGGCCTCTTTGACTCCTGAATTAGCATGGTCGCCATTTACTAAGGCACAGAGGGCTTTGTTTGGCAGGGCTGCTCAGTGGTGAGAGGCTAATGCACTGGGGCTCTCTACGATTGCCATAGCCTTTCAAAGTGTAGCACTTATTCCTTCATCAGAGACATTTTCCAGCCTGGATCAGTGAGTTAGATTAATTTGATTATGTTTATAGCTGTATGCTTATTAAACATATTTTACTTAATGACAGCAGTTGATTCACTGTCAGTAAAGCTCTAGGTTTAAAAGCATCAGATTTATAACTGGACGCATAATGAACATGCATTAGACATGCGGCCCCGTACACAGTATATCTACAGCAGGGCAGTGATGTCTGTCAAATTCTTCCTCTTTCACATTAATCAAGAATTAAAAGAAACATGTTATTTGTAAAATATATCAAATAAAAACATGACAATATCAGGGTTGTGAATTGAATTTGAATTGGAATGACAGGATGATAAATTTATTGAATTGCAGGGAAGTGTTTTGCTGCTTACCCGTTACCCGCTATTTCAAGCTGTAAGATGAAAAAAACATCCGTTTAAGAGTTTTGGAAGAATTGTTCTTCGTATTGAGTACACTTGTCTGGTTTCTTGAAGCATTCATGCTAGATCATCCCATTCACATTGCTTATGAATCAGTTGCATAATCTAAATATTTAGTTTAATATTACATAATATTTCATGTAATTATGTGACTAACATTTGTTCTAACATTTATTTACATTTTCCTAGATGTAAACAAAAAAGTGAATATCACATTTATTTTTTATACATTTACACAATTTATTGAAAAAACACGACTGATACTCACAGCACATACTAATTTACATCCAGTAACCCATATAAACGTCGTGTGTATCATATATGAACGGATGGGTAGGAAGATTTCTTTTATGCAGAAAGTGCAGTGGACCAAAGCGGACAACAGCATGACCTCACTGTCTGAGGAGGATTACCTCAAACTCCCCCTCAGTGCATCCTTCCTCACACACCAAGGCGGCTACACACACACTTCTGCTTCAGTTTTCTGTGCCAGTCTGCACTCTATGAGTGAGCTTTCAATGTTTAATGTTTCATCTTGTTCGTTGACAGGTTGGCATTATCTTGCACTACTCCTCCCTCTCTAGCATGCTATGGCTGCTCTTCACTGCCAGAAATATCTGCAAGGAGGTGTCCAAGGCTCCGCCCATACCTCAGGACAGGGACAATCCCACAAAAGCACGCCCTAAAGCCACCATTTTCAGGTACACGGCATGAATGTCCATGAATTCACTAAAGATTGAGAATTCTAATTCAGAACTGGGTTTATTTTTCAAAAAAAATTCAGGAGTACTGATCTCTCATGTTTTCCTCATGTCACTTTTGATTTTATTCCTTTCTGCATAAAAGTATTAATTTCGTAAAAAAAATCTTGCGACCCCAATATTCTGAACAGTAGTGTTCTTTAGTAGTAGTTCTTATAATAATTGAATGCAATTTTTCTGTGATTTGATAATGTTCAGTCAAAATAAAAATAAAAATAATTTCATAATTAATAATGATCTTAAACTAGATGAGTAATTTTGTGAACAAAACTTTGATGTTGGCTTGAGGAAGCCTGAATAAAAAGTTAGTAGTAGAGATTTCTAGAGTCTATAGATCTATAGAGTATAGATATAGTATAGAGTATAGATTTAGAATATATTATATACAATAGATAGATAGATAGATAGATAGATAGATAGATAGATAGATAGATATATAGATATATAGATAGATAGATACTTTACAACTGCCATCCCTAGACAAGTATCATTTTGATCAGATAATGAAAATCTGTTTTCTGTCTTTTTTAACCACATTTTCTCCTCTTTGACCTCTTTGTAAGGTTTTATATGGTCAGTGGTGGGGTACCCCTAATCATAGTGGGCGTTACGGCTGCTGTTAGCTTGGATAACTACGGTAGCAGAGATGGCGCCCCTTAGTAAGTATCACATTTACTGGCAGTGCCTAATTAGCTGTCAATTGTAATATGTTTACTCCATTTTTACCAAGCCAGTAAGAAATCACCAAATGCCACTGATTCCGGGAGATGTGTCTTAATTAATGCTATAAATTAGCATGAGGTCTGTAATTAGATGTAGAGTGGTACCAACACTGTCAGTTGAATTGTTGTCTCTATCTGTGCTGCAGCTGTTGGATGGCCTGGAAGCCCAGTCTGGGCGGCTTCTACGGACCCACTGCCTTCTTGGTCTTGGTAATGTGCATCTACTTTCTGATCACATTCGTGCAGCTAAAGCGGCACCCGGAGCGCAAGTACGAGCTCAAGGCCATGACCGAAGAACAGCAGCGTCTAGCCGTGGCTGAAATCGGACACTGCCACGCCGTCAGTGGAGAGCCAGGTGAGCACGGTGAGCACACAGGCTGCACAGCCATCACAGCGTCTATGTTGGCCAACGAGCACTCTTTCAAAGCTCAGCTGAGGGCCACCGCCTTTACGCTCTTCCTCTTCCTGGCCACCTGGGCTTTTGGCGCCCTGGCTGTATCACAGGGTCATTTTCTAGACATGATCTTTAGCTGCCTGTACGGAGCATTTTCAGTCACATTGGGGCTTTTTCTGCTGATACAACACTGTGCCAAACGTGACGACGTGTGGCACCGGTGGTGGGCCTGTTGCCCCAACAAACCAAAGGTGGAGGTCAATGGGGAAGCGGCAGGGAACGCCGTCCCCGCCTCCCAAAGTCACAGCCATACCCCGTCCCACGGGCAGAATCAAATCCACTGCCAGGTCGACTCGTCCTGCCTGGGTAAACCTCTACTCTCCCCTCACCTCCACTCCCCATCACCACACTGTAAGTTGGGTACTCTGCCTTCAACCCAGAACCATATGAGCACCTGCTGTGCCACGCTTCACAGTCCCTCTTCGATCGGGAATGCGACCCGTCCACAGTCCCTCACTGATGAACTGCCCCGGCCAACCCTTCCCCTGCAAAGCTGCCTAAAGGACAGGTCTAAGACTCGATCCTTCAACCGACCTCGGCCCTGCCTCAGGGACTATTCTTACCACATGACCTCCACCAGCATGGATAGCAGCGTGCACAGCTCCCATTTGGACAGCCCCCACAGTGTGCACCTGGACAACCCTCTAACCTGCCACACGTCACACTTGGACACTCAACTCTCTTGTCACAGCCCCCATCCGGACAACCAGCTTCGCTGCCCCAGTCCTAGTCCTCACCTCGAGAGTCTGGCTTCACACAGCCTTCACGATAGCCTCTCCTGCCATAGCGGGCACTTGGACAGTCAGCTCTCCTGCCACAGACACATGTGCTGTGCCAAAGCAGACCCGTTTTCGAACATATGCTGCCCTAAAGCTGAACTGTTTGTCAGCTCTTGCCAGGCAGAGGATCCTGACATGGGACCGCTGATGTACAGTTGCGCAAAAATGGCAGATAAACAGGACGACGCCATGCTGCACTTGGATATAACACCTCCGCGGGCATCTCTGTCATGCTCCCAGGCCACGCTTGGCAGGAAAGGCACCCTCAGCCGGCGAGGGACGCTGAGCCGGAACAGTAGTCAGCAGGAGGATTACCTACTTGCCTCGGATTCCACGGGTAACATTAGGACTGGACCTTGGAAAAACGAGACAACTGTGTAGGCTTGTGAATTACGTGCTAACCTGTTTCTCTCGCCTGAGCTAAACTACTGTGTAGTCCCAGGGCTGTTACCCAAAGGCCCTCTCTTCTCTGAGCTAAGCTACTGTGTAGTCCCTCTGCTGTGACTTCCCTCTCTCACCCGCCCCATATACCTTCTCTTCCCCTTTAAAGAGGTTTGAACCTCTGCTTACCTCTTCTCAGACTTCATTTCATGTCTCATCCCAGCTCCATTTGGTTTGTTCTCTTGACATTTTGATATGGCAGCAAAGATCACATGCCATATGTTTTAATTTGGATGGTCTTTTATAATCAAACTGATTTTTGTACATGTGTTTTTGGGTATGGTATCATAATGTGCAATTATGTTGTTGTGGATGTGTGTGTGTTTAGTAGGTAAGAAAGAAGTGAATGCATGTGTATATGTATATTTGCATGTGACAACATGCTTGTGTGTGTATATACCAGATAGCAAGATGAGCCCTCTCTTTTAGTGCCAAAATCTCCCACATTTCCGTTTTGCATTTTAGTTAAAAAAAAAAAAACTCTAAATGATCGGCAAGTGTGAAAACACCAGCATTTAATTCGATTTTCACTTTTAAAGAAACCTGTGAATTATCACTGCGGAAATTAAGATGAATCAATGAACAGTTATATGTGCCAAATAGTACAATAATGAAAATGAAAACTTTTTAAAACTGAGATCTAGCCCAAAGTACCAAGTAGTCTGTGATATGTTGATAATGGTGTGTGGTTGTCAAAACGAAGCTGTCATTTTTTTTCTTTTACAGACATAAAAACAGCAAACAAATAGTCTCCCTGTGTTTCCATGGTGACAAATCATGAAGAGAGGTGCCCAGTCAGAATGCATTTTGAACTGCACATGCGATGTATGCACATACAGTGTTTAGTTACTGGCAATGAGGTGCAGATCAGTTCAAGTCAATGGCCTTACATAACCCATCAGTTTTGCGTTGATCAAAAGTCTTATCTTGCACTAAAGCATGTTCACTGTAATCTAGGAAGCAATCATTTACATGTCTAATGGGCTACATGCATTCATGTGTTTGACAGTAAAGCATCTAAGCTTACTGGAAACACTCATGGTATTTATTCTGAGGCAAAAAATGGAGGGCTTCACTTTCTACATTAGAAGAAAGGAGACTTATTAACAGTTTATATCACTGTGCCAACTCACCTTGCTCATAAAAATTGTCTGATTTTATCCATTTACCCACTGATCGTTTGACAAATGAGCTTCCAAAAAAATATATATATATCTGCATCAACTCATATTGTAAGTAATAATTGGTAAATCATATAGTAAGTTCATTGAAACATCACACATGCAATATTTAATTTTTTTTACTGAATTTTGATTCAAGAAATAAATCAAATTTACATAATGCCACTAAAAAGTAAATCACTAAAGAGTGTCAAATTAGATAATTAGTAAATTAGATAATTTTTTTCAGTAAAACTTGATATTACTTTTGGCCTTGGTTTCATTGAACTTGATATGTGATTTGGTTATTGAATGTTACAGTATTTATTCTTGATTTACTTCTTTTTATATTTTGAATCAACACACCTGATTTATAAAATATAAGTTGGCGCAGATGCAACTCTGTCTTTTCAGTAAACTTAATATGTGATTTTGTGAGCATATTCTATTTTTTCTTGATTTAAATTAAGACAAACATGATCACAGAAATCTGCGAATAGCTACTTGATTCTGTGCACATTTAAGGAGTATTATATATATCATTTTTCAATGCCATGTGATCGTATTTGTCTCATTTGGTTTTTAATACTATGTGCCATTATTTAATCATAATAAAAATAATAATATTTAATGCCAACACAAGGGTCACGTGGAACATCTGGAAAATTCTTTATGTTGTGTTTCTTTGTGAGCTCAGGGATCATGTTGCATTTTTCACAAGTACAACCACACAAGATATAAATTTGCATGGAATTAATATTGGCTATTGGCCCCCAGAGTGTCACTAAAACTCATTTAAAAAAATTAAATAAAAATGTTTTACTCGAAATGCCCCTCACCTAACCCATTCTTTCTGCAGATTTGTAACACATGGATACTATTAAGCCCTCCCTTGAATCCCTGGAGGAAATGAAATTTGTCTAGCTGCCTGATTTGCCATGTGTTGTGCTTTATCCTCACCTACATAACCCACCTGTCATTGATAGCAAATGAAAGAACTAAAGGTTTTTTTGTTTTTTGGTGAGTACATGTGATTTGTGCTCTGACCTGACCCAAAGCCAGTTGGTTTGTTTTTTACATTTGCCACAATTTCCAATAAATGTATTTTATCACCCGATGCTGTGGTCCTGTTCTCTCTCTCTCTTTCTAGAGGCTTCAAAGTATTGTGCGAAAATCCCATGCATAATGCTCAAAGTTGCCTGAATGCTTCCCTAACTAGATCTATTTCTCATTCCGCCCATTCGCAGTGTTGTGTGAAGGCCAGTGCGCTTTGTCAAAATCATCCCTTCGCCTTGAGTCGGGCGTGTGCTTATCATGGCTGGGTCTCAGCTCTTGCTGACAGTCTTCAGAGCTGCAGGGCCTGGACCATTGTTTATTCATCAGTCCTCCCCGTTCTGCAGCTGATCCCTGCTCACACATTCTGTCAAGGACTCTGACATCGGCTCGGAACTGAAGGAACCAAGAGATGATGAACAACTGCCAGCTTGTCCTTACTGAACCTCTATAGGAGTTTTTAGCCTCCCAACTCAACAGCTGTGAGAGGTTACCGATGGTACATGCTTGGGAACTTTTCAATGTTTTATACTGAACATTTGCCCACACTTAGTTGCCCAGAAGGCTTCTTGAGGTCCTGACAAGTAGACTTCTTGACACACACAAAAAAAACCTTTATGTTTAAATGAAGAGGCCTTATATGTAAGAATCTAAATCAAGAAGAAAAGCAGAAGAATGCAGGGGTGAACAGGTCATTTGTTGAAGTGGAAGACAAACAGCAAAATGCATTCAAGCCACACAACTAATTCACACGGCTAAATGAGAATAAGCAATGTGGAGTTCACTGAGTAACCCATTGGGTGTTGTCGTTAAAATGCTCTGTGGAGACGAGCGCCTTCGCTTCTAATCGCGTCAGAACTGCAGGGGAGATGCTGCTCACTTCCATCTGCTGGTGGACTTTAACACTGTCCAGCAGAATGCACACTTGACAGACTCAGGTCAGGGAGGTTTTTTTTGGGCTTGTGTCATAGGACCAAATACAGACTCATCAAACTCATCTCGGACAAATCATCCTAAAACTGTGGCACTGTTAATCTCTTCAACAAAATGACTAACAAATTGTTCGTTATTAAAAAATGTTTTGATTTTGTAAACGATAGCGAGGGCGAAAAATTTGCTCCGTGACAATAATTAAACAAATTGAATTAAAACATTCTGTTGACAAACATCCTAAGCTAGTTGGCTGGTCTTAAGATGGTCTTCTATGGTTATGTCTGGTTTAGCAGGCGGGTTTTAGAAGGGTTTTGACTTATTTAGTTGGTCCGGCTGGCCTTAGCTGTTCAGGCTTTGAAAGCAGATGAACACCAGGCTGGGAGGCCAGTTTGACCAGTTTAAACCAGCTAAGACCAGCCAACCAGCAGAGGCTGGTTTTAGCTATTTTTTGTTTTTTTGTTATTTTTTCAGCAGGGACGATGAGAACAAATAACCCCGCAAACTGAACCACTTTGTTAACGGGTTAATTAACTCACCCAAATGCACCACAATATTAATCACATGTAATACACTCGTTCCATAACAACAGACTAAAATGTGGAAAACAGCAAAATCACACTAATGTTAGTGTACTGAGGGGATAGTGACTAGCGACCATTAATTGGGGGTGGGCATGTACCCTCACTTTTAGAAATTACTTAACCCCACTTTTTGATAAAAAAACACCAAAGGCTGCTCGCTTTGGCACACAAATGCTAATCCCACAGGATTGTGCTCACCATTCACAGTTTCAAAGTATTAGTGCAACACACACTGAGCAGGTGACTATAATGCAATCTGTGAGCAAGTAGTCTTTGACTATTACCAGTCAATGTTGTTAAATAGATAAAAACATTTAACATTTAAGTAACTTTAAGTGTATTCCTTATCCCGGACCTTAGTCTTTTTTCACAGAAACACTGAATGACCAATTAAGCTCCTCCACCAGCCCATATTTCTGTAAGTTCTTTTTAATGTCCAAAATATGCATTTTAATGTAAGACATAGTTGCAACAATGTTTTGGTTCATATTTTTTAAAGTTTTGTTATTTAAAAAATGCTTGATTTGTTGTGCTTTCAAATCTGTTCAGGAAGCAGTTTAAAACTGCTCAATGGGATGTCGTGCCATTTCACAATTTCCAACTCATGCTGACTTAAACACTGCTTAGTGGTTCCATGACAGTCCACAGCCCTCAGAATCAGATAGTATTTGATTAGGCTACCACTAAAAAATGACAATTACTTCACCCTTTGACATTACTTATTTAGAGTTTCATGGGACTGTGTGACCTATTTATTTTGTGCCTTATATAGATGCAAGCATGTGGTTACTCTCTGATGTTCTGGTTTTGGTTTGAATGGTAATGGACAGAACGCAGTTCTGACAAGCTATCAGAGAGAGAGAGAGAAAGAGAGAGTGGAAGGAGGAGGGAGCAGTGAAAATGATGTACTGAAGAGGAAGGAGGATAAATAGATACATAGGCGGAGGATGGCACAGGATAGGAATACAACAAGTGTGGTGAGCTGGAGAAGTGGACAGGTATCTTATAAATAGCCTCCTTTGTTTAAACTGTAAGGATGGTTCTTTTTTTTAAAAACGTTTTGGAATTATTGATTATATAATGTCAAATGTAGGGTAAGATCGAGATCGGCCAAGGTGTCCCCACCATCACTAGTAATTATTTTCTGTTAACAATAGATCTGAACATTTATTGAGTAATTGGGTTCTCTTATTAATCTTGACTTCAGCTTCAATATTTGTTGGATTTTTTTCCATCTGAATAGCTTTGAGGTTAAATGATCAATTTGTTTTGTTATTGGATTACATCTGTGAATTTATTTATAGTATGTACATGGTATGGTGTATGTATACACACTTATATAAATATATGTAAATGTATTAAACAAATTTTTTTGTTTTTGATAATTACATTTCAAACATTCTTTATTTATCATATTGTAGCATATCATCAATGTATATATTGAAAACAATGAAAAATGAAAAATTAGGTATTACTTCTGCAGTTACTAAAGATCTTAGTTCATTTAGTTTAAAAACAGCAGAGTTTGTCTTTGTATCTGCTTATTGAAGTGTGCAACAAAATGGTGACTGTATAACAATAGTTTAATCAGTGAAGTCTATTCTCTTTTCTAATCTTTGTGTGTTAATGCTTCATTTCTCACGGAATGGGCTGCCATCCTTCCTTCCCGCAGGCCACTCCATGGCCCGAACCACTTCAATGGCAGGAAGTCAGAGGTAGTCTGAGACAGCTCTGGTACAAGCCTGACCTATTTAAATCCTGTCAAAGCAGGCGGACGTCTCTCACTTTCCTGCTCAGCGAGGGTCCACAGGTTTCCTGAAGCCCAGCACTGAATACCAGCACACACAATCAATCAGTCGATCCCAGATTAAACAGTCAAATCTCAGATCTGTGATCTGCTCATGAGGCCTTAAGTCTCCCCTGATACAACGCCCCATTTATGCATTTCAAATATCCTCATCGTGACATAATGACTCACGGCAAATCGTAGCTTGGGTAGAGATTTTGCCCTCATTATCATGACAGAGCCTTCATGAAAATGAAGGGCGAACCAGGGCCTAGTAAATTAGAGCGTGTATTGGACAGCAACTTAAATAGTATAATAAATACATTCATTTGGAGTGTCGTACTGTTGAACTATTAGCCTATATAGATTCTCTTGTTTAATTTTATATATAACATCCACTAGCATGACTCTTTTTATACAGGATTCACAAAGATTGCACAAAATAGGCAAGTCTTTAGGAGAGACTGGGGCTAGTTGGTAAAAAGCCCAATGATGAAAATGCAAGTTTTCTCTAGCTGAGGTTTGGTGTTGGTTTCAGAACAATCTTAGCACTAATTTTAATTTCTTTTTTGTTCAAGAGAATAGAAAACTACACTTGCATACATTCAAGCAAGTGACAACTATATATTGAAGGCAAAATTTGAGACTCATTTTTAGTTTAGGGATAATATTGACAAGAGAATATCAAAATGATGAGTGAATTTATAACACCAAATGACACAAAAGTTAACTGTGAATTGACCGAATTGTATTATCGTAGCTTGCAGGTCAGCATAAAGTTATCTGAAATGGTTTCATTTTCAAATATTTAACAAAGTTGTAAATGCATGACAATTTATAAAATTGGATTAATACTATTAGACCTCACAGCAAATACCGGTAATGCATTGGTAAACATACGTTTTTCTGTAATGTGAAGACAAAAGAATACATGTAGTTGACTCCACATACAAATGTGGAGAATGTTTTTACCAGAATAAAGATATCCCTAAAGAAACCCATGTGTTGACATCATACTGTTGAATACCAATGAAGTCAAAATATTGTGCAAATGTGCTAGTAAAACATCCTCTTAATGACATCATAAAGACAGTACTAAAGTACTAACCTAATACAATACTGCCACCTAGAGGTGATTGCTTCCTCGCAACATCTCCATCTTCAAGATTAAGTCACATAAATACCAAAATATAAATAGGCAACCCCAGAGGCAATAAAAATGTCAAACATTTTTAGTCATAAAAAAAAACATTCTTCAAAGGTATTTACATTTATTAAAGAAGGAACTGCAAGGAGGTAAATACAGTACAATATAGTGTCAACCTGGTGCATCACATTTTAGGCACTTAGCATAAAAAAATAAACTCGTCTCTCAGATCCTAATAAAAACCTGTGTGACATTACAACAAGGAAGGACATTTTTTACCTCAGGACAAACATTATTTGGTTGACAGATGTCTGAGTGAGGACTATATTTTTGCTCATTCATGGCGTGACATTACTTGTTTCAAGCTGGGCGATTTGAGCTGAATATTAGTTGACTGTTAAGGTTTGCATAAACAATTCCACTACTTCACATGTATAACAGTGATTGTCATGTCACAAAGAGGGTGACATACATACTGAGTGAATATTGAAAATAAAACTTTATATGCCAACGACATAGTTCTCATGTGTTAGAAACAGTTAACGGACCAAACACAGGGAAAGTAAAGCATCAGAGAAATCACTGATTTATGACACCTATAATACACTGAACACTCGCTACTTAAATCATGGATGGATTATGACCTCTCTGCCATCAAAGCTTCATTCAAGCACAATGGACAAAGAATGATTAATGGACACAGACAAATCAAAACATCTGTCCTAACAATTACAGAGATCTTACAGTGAGACTTCAGCGTGGCAGATCCCAGCACTTGTGAGGCGTTTATCTACATTTAAAGAGAAATTATATAAGAGAAACTCAAAAATAAGCAGATTGACAGATCAATTTAAAAGCACCATTGAGTCCACTGTATCACATCTGGACATGTTAACTGGGTTGACATATAAAACAGTTTCATCAAATGTCTAGTAAAGCATGCTTTAAATGCAAAGGATATACTGAATGTTATAAGAAAAACAACTGTTCATATGGGACAGAAACCCATATTTAAAAAAGGCTCGATATTGGAGCTATAAATGAGAAAAAAATGTCTCAAAAACAGTTTAAAGGAAGTCTTAACCTCTGCTTTTATAGTTGTTAAATCAGTTGAAAGCAAAAAATCAATGTAGTCTAGCACAAATGAATGGTCAATCTTAATCTTTGAACTCTGCTAAGCACACAAAAATCTTACAAATGTGGACTTTACCATGAAATGAAACAGACCTTGTTAAAACTTTGAGGCAGAATGAGGCACTCAAGTATCACAGAAAATGAAAATACAGTTAGTGTTTAGTTGGCTATTTGAGGTTTGTTGGCTTGCATCTCAATACATCAAGTTTTATCTTTTTTTTTTTTTTTTTTAGTAAAGCATAATAGTACATTTACAGGTGCATTTCTTCATTTCAAATAAGTGAAAGGACAACCAAAAGCACCAAAGCCATAACTAACAGATGTAGGTTCAGAATATATTTTCAGAAAAAAAAACATTCATACTATTATAAAGTCCATTATTGCTACTGAAGGGACACCGGGTCTGATTTGTTGTAATGAAGGTAGATACAAAACTGACCCTAAGAAACAACATGAGAACAAATACAGCGTATTAATGGCAAACCACCTCACAGGACACATAATTTCAAAAGGATGGCTTCCATAGGAACCAGTTGGGCTTGTTTTTAGGCAATATTCTAAAATAATACTTAATGGAAGAGTTCATACTCATCCCCATGTCATTCCAAAGCTGTATGACTTTTTCTTCTGTGGAACACAAACAAAACTTTCTGAAGAATGTTTTTCCAGGTTTTGCCCGTGCAATGAAAATCAATGGGGTCCAAAACAACATTAAACTACACTGACTTCATTGTATGAACAAAAAAAAAAACAGACAAATAAAAAAACAAACAAAGAACAAGAACAAAGAACAAAACAAAGAACAAAGTCATAAAGGTTTGGAACAAAATGAGGGTGAACTAAACGACAAATTTTCATTTACTGGGGAACTATCCCTTAAAATTTGCAGATGCATTTTGAACTTTTCACAATATCTAAGCCCCAAAAGACATAAATGGGAAAACAATATGGTTTAATGATGTAGGAAGTATGTAGCCAACTTAAACTGTACTTAAAATGGTACATAACGTTTAAATCTACAATTGTACACAGCTTCAGAATGAAAGATAATTACTTCTTTATAAACTGGACCATTCACTTATTCAAAGACTATGGAATTACCTGAGAAATTGGTTCAATTGTCTGAATTAAAAAAGGTATATAAGAGACAGCACCATCTTATACCAGTGATCTTCCTGCTTGCACCATAAACATACAGTGTGTCCAGTTTTCACAGTTCCATTCTATACATACTCAAGGGTTTCGATTTAAATATACAAGGGTGAAAATTATTTACATTCTAACTTGTTTCAGGTACCAAACGCTTCTCTATTACACTATACCCTTTAAAAGCTTCTGGAGAAAAATCTATGGAAAAATAATAGACAGGTTAAATGTATCTTACTATACTATTAAAAAAAAAGAAAATATTACAAAAAAAAATCTGTTTTCTACAACGTAGGATGGCATTTGGCCCAATCCAGGGGCATTAGAACAGCTTATTCCAGTCTCTTGTTGCCTCCATTAGATGCCGTTGACCATGGCCAATCCAGTCCTCTTGGTTGTTGAAAACTCGGCCACAAAACCAGCAACAAAATGTTGACTGCTGCTCTGAACCAGCAGATGAGGACCTCACCACCTCATACTTATTTCTACTAGTCTTTTTTAACTTTAGTTTTAGTATGAATCTCTCTTGAACAGTGCCTCCTACTGGCCTTGATCTTTCGCTCCCATTGCCATTGGAAGCATTCTGCTTTGAAAGTGTATTTGGAGACTCAGAGAGGGCTTTAACTGTACTTTGGGACAGTGCCACCTTGAGAACTTCACCTTTGTATTTGTTCACTGACCTCATGATGCTAGAAACTTCAGGAATATCTGCATCTGGGTGGTTCAGAACAACCACAGGCTGGTTTCGACGGGGATATTTGATTTCTTGAAGTGGACTAAAGGGACAGAGCCTTAGCAGTCTCATGACATCTTTCGCAACAGGCTCCCAAATTGAGGTAGCATCTTTCTCAGACGACTTGCTTGAGATTCTCCTTATTTTGGAGGAGCCCTCCAGCATTTCCTCAAACAAAGCCCTTCGCCTCCGTTTCCTTTGGCTTCGTGGACGGATGGGACAGGGAACAAGTGGCAACTTCTGTAATGCTACATCATGATCAGCCCTGCTTTTGTTTTGAACATTGGATTGGGGTAAAATATGTTTAAGCTGGGATGCTGGGATGAGTTTATGAGTGAGACCTTGGGAATTAGTAGAGGTTTTCAGACCTGCCGACACATTGGTTAAAGATTTATTTGAGGACATTAACAAGCAAGGGGACTGTATGGTGTATGGAGCAGTGGAGAGAAATCTGGTGCCGTTGGGACCTCTAACTATCTTAAGGAATACCCTGTTTTTGCCCGCCTCATTTACTTGGTTGCCCTGGTTCAAAGCTTTCCCATCTGAATTGTTCAAAAGTATACCCGACTTAGCTGGAGAAATGTATCTAACTAAGTAAGCTTGCCTCCCAGACTGCAAGGGACCGGTTTTATCTGCTGAATTCACAGGCATGGCTAATACAGGACGAGTTGCAAGCACAGTCTTAGAACTTGGACCATTTGACTCACTACTAACTGGGGTAACAGGGAGTGATCTCTGAACTAAATAACAAGTCTGTGGCACATTGGTCGCCTGTTCTCCAGATGAGGACTTGACAGCACCTGAAAAAAGAAGAGATGCTTTAAGAGCTGCAGCATTGACGAAATAGCGGTTTCCACTGCCGCTCGGTGCCATTTGGATAGACGCTTGACCTTTAGTTTCCAGACTTGAACTTTGTGCAGACATGCCAATTCTGCCTCCATTTAAAGTCAAAGCTATTCCCTTAGTCTTGTTGGCTGTCTCAATCCCAGGTTTCACATAGGACACATTAATATTGGGAGAACTGGACTTAGTAATCAGCTTGAACCCAGCCCCACTTTTCAGCTGAACTGGCACAGCATATGGAGTGTCTGTAGTTTGAAGGAACATCTGCTGTTTTCCTTCAGGTGTTTGCAAAATCCGAAGTGTTGTTTTGGTCGGCCTAACGGTTTCTTGTCCTGTACCTGAAGACCTCATTCTTTCTTTCTCAAGTTGCTGGCTGATAATGGCGTCCGAGTGCTTTTCAAGTATCTTTCCCAAAACAGCTGCGCTAGTCAAACTTGCCGCTGTGTTCTCGTTTGCAAATGTGATGCCTTCCGGTTTCTTCTCTGATGAGGATGAACAAGCCGTTTCTACTTCTTTTTCTGGAAGCACAGGAATGAGCGAATCATCAACAGTAGCTATGCACTCATCGACCTCAATATCACTATCTGACACTCGCTCTAATGCTTTCTCTCCACTTTCAGAGAGCGGATCACTCTCATTAGCCACTCCCTTGCTATCTTCTTCCACTTGAAGAGGAGGCGATGCTGGCAGAGTTAAGCTCCAGTCACCAAAATCCTCCTCGCACTCTTCTTCCTCTAGCCCCAGCGGTAAGTCTTCCTCAGGCTGCAATGAATCGGGAGAGCTCCCGAAGGAATCTTTAGAATAATTGTGGAAACTAAAGACCTCTTGACTTGGGGAATTGAGTAAGTTCCTTTCAACCTCTGTGTTACAATCTTTGGCATCAGGTGATGCACCTTTACTAGTTTCATTTTGTGAGTTTGCCTCAGTGGTTTTGTTTTTAGTGACTTCAGATAACTTTCCAACTACACTGTCTGAAGCTTTGTTCTCACTTGAGTCAGAAGGAGCATTTGGGTAAAACTGAGAGGTCTCGCCAACTTTTGCGTCAAAAGTCTTAATGTCAGTCATCTCACAAAATGTGGTCACAACTTTGAGAGAATTAGAATCCTGCCCTTCTGCAGCCACTGAATCAATTATGTTTTTTTCCACAGAAAGTTTAATAGGGCAGCTCCGTTCAATGTTATTCTTACATGGTTTACCACCTTTTGAACTGAATCGAGGTTCCTGGATAAGAGATTCTTCCGACAGCACAGAAAATGTTGCATCTGTTGTTTTTATTTTTGGAAGTTTAGATTCCAGGATATCAATGTGTGTGAACTTGTCATCTACAGACATTTCAGGATCAGATTTTGAATTGGAAGAGTCACAGGAAGGATCTGTGGTTTCATCAGCAGGTGACTGTGATCCTGAGGGTTGATCCATAGCTGAAGCTAATGCTGTAGTGTCATATTCAGATGGGTTTACTTGAGCAATTTGCAAATCAGAAAGTGTAGTCCCAGAACCAGCAGAGGAAAGCTCTGATTTTGAAACAGGAGGTGTGGCGGCTGGATTTGCTGTCTGGATATCATCAATGTAGCTTTTTTCACTTGAACAGAGGAAAGATACCTCATGAAGATGCGGGGATGAACTCCCACTTGATTGGCGGCATTGACACAGAGAAAGTGCAACATCTTTTGATGCTGTAGACAGTACTTTAACACCACGTGAGACTTCAGTATCTTCATTATTAACCTGCCATGCCTTATTTGCAATCTTAAAGCTAACTTTGTGCTCCTCTGTCAGAGGGAGATGGTTGCCAGTGTGATTTTCAACTTCTGGTGACTCTTCTTTTATTGAAGACGGCTCATTTGATTCTCCAGACTCTAAACTGAGGAGAGATCCTATGCTTGGTGAGGATGAAGAGCAGGGGCTGCTGGTTGTTTTATTTTCATTATCACCGATGTGTGAATCAGAAACCTCAATTTCAGTGGAGTCCTCTGGTTTTGTCGGTATGACTTTTAGAACTAAATGCTTTTTACCATCTACTATCTTAAAGCCCATGACTTTAGTGGTACAGTTTGGTGGAATAGATATTTTATTTTTCACCATAAGAACAGTCAGTCCATTGTTGTTGGTTGAATTCAGGAGTCCTGGACTAATCTCATGCTCTTGTAACTTTGGTTGTGGCATTGTTGATGGAATAAGGTGCAAAGTTTGTGGCTCACTTTGTACGGGAGACTTTGTCCATTTATTATTCTCTTTTTTAACCCCAACAGCTCTTTCAAGAAACTGCTGAGTTTCCTCCAAGGTTTTTTCAGGATTAAACAACCTGCCATTATGATCGAGCAGACCTACACCAGGGAGTGAGTTAAGTTTTGACATCCACTGCGATTCTCTGGATCCTCCACCTGGAGGAGACTTCTTAAGCAACAGTTTTAGTCCAGTTGAAGTAACTCCAGAATTGTCCTCATTTGCTCTCCTCTTGTTCACCTCCTCACCGTGTGCCACTGTAAGATGTTTGTTCAGGTACTCTCTGCGAGCTGCACTATAGCCACACATCTGACAAGAGAAAGGAAAAGTCCCTGAATGCACTAAGTTATGCTTCTGAATCTCTCCTTGTGTGGGGCTACCATGCGGACATTTCACACATTTGTGATTACGTTCGTTGTGACGATGGATGTGCTGAACAAAGGTTCCTGCATCTCTGGTGGAGAACTCGCACTTTTTACAGCGAAACTGTCCGTTACGGCTGTGGCAGTTGGTAAAGTGCCTGGTGAGCAAAAGAAGTGAATACTGCACCCCATCGTTGCAAATCTCGCACGTGACCAAAGTGTTTCGATGTCCAATGCGATGTCGCTGAAGAGATGAGAATTCATTGGTGACAAACGAGCACAGATCACAAGGATAAGTTGGAAGGGTTCCTTTGTGTGATCCTTGAAAATGCTTCAGCAAGTCATTAGGGCTGTAAGTGGTGTCGTCTTTGCATTCAGAGCAACAAAAACTCAGTATTTTTCCAGAGAATATTGCGCCCTGCTGCATCTTACATGGAGTCTTTCCAGAAGCTTTGCTGTCTATGTGAAGATTTTCAGTGGATGACTCCTCAGGGTGCGTTTCATCTTGGTCACACTGCTCGTTACAAGAGGCTGTCTCTGGAAGCTGATGTGCCAACTGGAGTGGCAAAGTGTGGTCCAGTAAGGGGTCATCATCCTGGCTCTGGCCATGGCTTTCAGGGGGATCATCTGATGCGGTCAGGTCAACCTCCATGCTTTATAATATAGGCTCCTGCAATATTTGGAAAAGAAAAAAACAAAACAAAAACATTACTATATTGTAATAAGTGAATAATACTACTGTACAGTTAATGTTTTACAGCGTTTAAGAAAAAATACCTCTATTAAATACATCTTGTAAGAGATACTATGATTTAATTTACACTTTAATCAAACATATATGCAATGTTGAGTATAAAAGTATTACAGAAATACAGTAGTCAACATTTAAAGTGGATCAAAAAAGTTAATCAAAGTTGTCCTAAGACAAAAACAGGTATTGTTCAAAATTCATGTATAACTTTGATGAAAGGTTTTGATCCACTTCAAATGTTGACCACTGTAATTTAACTTCCACTTTTTTTTTACCACAAAACGACTAGACTACATGTTCTCTCTAATGCAGTCTACAATACTAGTTTTTGTTCAAAAATGACAGACAACATCATATTGCCTTTCATGCTTGTCTTAGTTTGTGTCAAGAAACTTAGTTTGTGTCGCGATTCCTTGCATCTGGAAAAACTGGTTGTCACATTATAGCCTTTAACAGCCAAATTATATACTGCAGAGTAAGTATGAAAAACTTTTATTCATGAATGTTGCAAAAATGTAATAATTAGGAGCCCAGATGGAGTTAGTTTTCATTTTCTGTGCCAATTTTGCTGAATATTATCCAGAAAAAATTTATATACACCACTTAGAAGTTTATAAATCAACAAAATATCATCAAATATGCCAAACAATATCTGATAAATAAACAGATATGGGGCATGGGATGCGAAACATTTTTAGAATATTGGTTGGTCAAAGTCTGTGAAAATCTGCAGAGCATTTTGCAAATTTCCATATGGACCTACCCATCACAACTTTTATCTGTGTTTAAGAGATGATCACAACAGCATACTACACAAATTACAGCAACAGTTTCTAGCATGTCTACTCTGTACGGTATGCAAATTTTCTGCAAGCATAAAATACATGGATGATCCAGTAGCCTACATTTTCCAAAATGAGCAGTACTCTGTTTACTGTGCAGAATATAGCACTTCCCATTAATTTGTGGTTCATCTGTGAAGAATGAACTGGCATAAGAAATTCAAACTGCAGAATTTTAAGATTTGTCTTGACTCATGATTGAGCTGGCAAATGTTAAGATATTTGACACAAAATTACATTATATTTTCAAAATATCCATTTTTATTTCCAAGATAGTAAATGGATACCACTTGCTAAATGAAATGTGCAATGACGTCATGCGATGTAGTGTAGGTCATGTAACAACAACTGCTGTAATACTGTTTAATACATACAACTATTTTAAATGTTTACTGTGGATAATAACTAGAGTCTAACCCTGAGAAATACTAACTCTGTCTGTATGGTAACCTGTTGAAATGTAATAATTTAGAAATATGTCAATATCAAATCAAATCTATAATATTTTTTTAAGGTTAAATGTTGTGATTCAAAAATTATACAGCAATCAAACTTTGCCATTAACCAATTTAATCCCACTGGTAACATCGTGTCAAAATGTACTTTTGACTCAATTGTCTAAAAAGAGTTAATATTAAAATATTTGACAACTATGTGTAAAATACATCAACAACTCTTTTTAGAATGCAGACTGTCTTGATTTCATGTGATTACTTTTTACATGGCTGGTGTAAATTGTCTTATGACAACAGTTTAATTCTAGTTGGCACCTCTGAAAAAACGAGAGTCTGTGTCAGTTACATAAAACCAAGCATGTAAAACACGTCATGATACATGTGAGACATATTTAAACTATCTATTATTAAATGAATTTTTAAGATTGTTCTGGCACATATAAAAAAGGATCACAATAGGCCCTACATGTAAACATGCCAGTGGTCACATTTGTAAACAGTGGGAAAAACCTCACTAATTTTTAAAACAATTCAATAACATTCAATATTTTAAAACAACTGATTGATATACACGTTATAGAATTTTAGATTTCAAGATTGTTACATCAAATGAGAAGTACAAATTAATTTATTCTTTGATTAGTTTTCCCCTTTTCCATGCAATTACTTGATAGTAAAAAACAAACAAAAAAATCTATTGGGTTAGTAACCAACTGAGCAATCAGACTCCCAATGGCTATAATTGTGAACAGCATTTCTAAAGTTTTGTACAAGTTAGTAAATGCAAGAAATGCAGGAACATTTCATTTCACTTTCATCTGACGAGCTGGGAGAACACTGGAATTAAATGGATTAATGTTTGTATGATAACCTCCAAACTAATTTACAACCAAGATGTGAAGTGATGCATGGAACAACATGTAAACTCTCTTGGTAAGTGTAAACTTCATCAGCATTATCGTATCTCATACCCATATCCGTGCACATCTTTGTAACAGACAGCGTTGTTTTATCTTTTCTCATTTTTCACAATTGCTATTAGCCAAACTTTTCATCAGAATTTCATTACTTCACAACCTTTCTACAGATGCGCAAACAAACTTTTTAAAAACATGATACAAAACCAGCAACACCTAACAACAAAGTCCTGCATCTGCGAAGAAATAAAGTTATTTAAATTAAGTTGACATTCACCAACTTTGTGCAACGCGGACACACACAATGCACAGCCAACTAAAGGAAGTGCCATGTCAATCGACTCAACACGACAATTATGGCCGTGCATTTCTGGATGCACACCGACTATCCCGCTACTCCCTTAGCGAACAAACCTACAAATGTCAAAGTCATTTACTCATAAGCCATGTTATTTATCCACATCAACAAAAATAAAGCAACTCGCCCCCACCCACGCTGGATGTAATCATACGATTAAAAACACAAAGAAGTCAACGTAAGAGCGCACTACTAAAAAAAAAGTCACAGTTATATTGGAATTGAATGTCATTGTGTCTTAATTAAAACCGCTGTTTCAAATAGGCGCAGTTTAGAGAATTTTACCTCTCTTTTCTCTTTAGACTGGCAGGTCGGTGACGGCAGCCATGACAGTTCCATCCGGGTTCCGCTGCCTTCAATGCGCGTGAGGCAGGAACTCAGAGCGGATGAATATGGATTACCTGAAACACTCATTAGGTCGTCTTTACAAACATATATTTCTTTTTAAACCTCAAAACAAATTCTCTAAATGGAATACAAATTTCCTTTGGTTAATTGATGAATAGAATGTGTTGTTTGAATTAAAATCCACGTAGTTTTCGGTCTGTTTCAGACACAGTTTTGTCCATCTATGAAAGTGGCCGTGCATACTGCTGTTTTGTAGACAGTAGGGACGCCATGACTCACTCTAAATCATGAAGCGCCATCTTGACCTACAATAACATTAGTCTGATAGATAGTTAAATAGTGTTTACTAGGTTATAAATACTGGCGCACTGAAATGCGCAAATAGATGTAAGAATCATATTGTGCTACTGCGATGGTAATAATGACAATGATGCTTTTCCTGGGTAGTTATCTAACATTTATGTAACAGGCTACATCAGGCTAATATAATTTCAAATATAGCTTAAATAAAAGAATAAACGACACATTACTGCAATGTATTTAAATTCAATTCAATTAAATTGATAAGGCTTTATAATGTTTACTATAAACATGAATTTTCAAGCTGTTGTTTTATTGCAAGTTGTTGGGCCGAAAGGCCACCTAAAGGGACAAAAATGACCTAAATATTTGCAATGTTAGTCTGACTTATTTCAGATATATTTCATAATATTCTGCTCTAGGCATATTAGAAATGCATCAAATTAAATGTATACTTATAATATTTTAAATTCAATAAAGGGATCATAAACTATTTGGAAGCTGTAACAGTGTTTCATTTACTAAAAAAGAACATTAAAATGTATGTAATACTGAAATAATATGGTAATGTACCTGCAAATATTGTCACTTTAAAGTAGCAGTATACATGTTGTAATATTTCTATAGCCTTACAAATTGTCTTGACATGTTTACAAATTGATCAAGTGTTACGTAAAACAAAAGATGATGGATGAATGAAGTGTAAATTAAGGTGTGGCATATGAAGGTGTGACTTGCCCATTAGAGATCAGAGCCCACTTACTTCAAAATTCAGATTTGTGAAATTACTGTATGTAATTGTTTGTCATTGTGGGCCATAAGCTATAAGATCCAGAAGGAGAAATGATGATGACCAGGTCAGAAATTTACCATGCCTTGGGGCAATATTTATTAGCTCTTCGATGGAAAAAGAAGAAAAAGAAGAGCTTTGTCCTGAAATCAAGGTTTTGAAACACTTTGAAACGAACACTTTATGGGCTCATAAGTTTTGTTTTTGTATTCGTTATTTCAATAAGAACATCCCAGTGCTTTTTAAAGTAATTTCTATAGCACCAAGTAGCTTGGGATATATAGTGTAATTAATCACACTTTTATTGTTGTCAGAAAAAAATCATATAGACCTATAGGCATCTATGACTGGGGTCTTTTCATATCAATAAAGGCATATTCACAGCTGTTAAAGGGTATGAATTAGCTCTATAGGAGCCATTGTATAGATTGATTGGGACATATCAATCAAAGAGGCGTAAACACATTCATCAAACCTATTCACACCTATGACAGAGGTCATAATCTTTTCAAATCTGATTATCACAAAATGTTGAAATTTGATAAATTAAAATCTATTTCTTGATCCACTATGTTATGATCCACTATTTATGTTTGTTTGTTAATCAAAAATAAATACAGTATATATGTAACTTCTTTATGATTGAGAGAATGTTTCAACACAGAACGTTTAATGTTTTAGTTCTATAGACTTTACGTATTTTAATTAATAGTAAAATACCATCAAATTGAAATAAATAATCCTTACATATTATTCATATTATTATTTTAGAATTTTAAATCAGTGAAAAAAACTATTGCTTAATAACACTTTTTTGTATAAATCATAAACTTAAATTGAAACATATTTAAAAAAAATTATGAATAAGAATCAAATATAATAAATGGTCATACCATTACATATATCAATTGTGGTAATTGATAAATTAATGTAACAATGTAATGTAATCTTTTGGAATATTACATTTTCAAAATATTTTAGTAAACACAACTGTGTTTATTACTTACAAATTAATGATCATATACTGCATTTTGAATGTAAAATCTTATATGCTAATACTTATAAAAAATAAGAAACACATAGGAGCATTTACTTGTATTATTTTAATGTATAATAGTACATGTTATACAAATAATAAATGGATACATAAAGTAAAATGTCTGCTATTAAAAAAATCTTAATACATTTTAATGGAACAAGGGAATGGACCATTTAGTTTATGTGATTCGTATTCATAAACTTAAACATATTTTCTTTTTCTTTTTTTTTATTTATGAATACGAAACTGAAACGGTTCATTCCCTTGTTCGATTAAGATTTATACAAAATGTTTTTTTTTTATTTAATTAAATTTGAGGGAATTTTACTATACAATTGATATTCGTAAATCTAAAAAAAAAGGCTCAATTTTTTGAGTGTACTTACATATTTTTTGTTGTTTAAATGTAAATTAGCATATACATATTTTTATCATTTTAAAGTCAAATGTAAATGCAAGCTGGATGTATAATTGCATTGTTTATATACAAAAAAATAAAATTTAAATGTATGTAATATCAAAAAAAATATGGTAATGTACCTGCAAATATAATTATTTTTTAAGTACTAAAAATAGGTAGTAAGCAGTAATACTTCAATACTTCAACAGTCTTACAAAATGTCTTGAGATACTTGCAAATTCATCGAGTATTTGTGATGAACAACAAAAGATGATGGATGAATGAAGTGTAAATTAAGGTGTGGCATGTATGAAGGTGTGACCTGCCCATTAGAGATCATAGAGCCCACTTAACCTTTAAAGTGTACAAGTGTTAGGACTGCCCCCTCTGGACCATGGTGGGCAGGTATAAATAGTGGTTACTCTCAGTTCTTGTTCAGGAGCAGTAAAACAACATCCAGCTTGACCTACTCAGTCCTAACAGAATTACATTCTACAAGTGATCAAAAGATCCTTGAAAGACATGTGGATGGACTGCATTGGTAAGTATTATTGTTTTTATCATTTATTTTTTAGATTTTAATTTCCTGGAATAATTATTTGTGTGAAATAAATAAATACATATATTTTTACTCTTACAGCTCAAGATGGAAACTCACAGGCCAGTAAGATTGCAGGTCGCAGGAAGAGAACAAGTTTCACCAAAGAGCACTTGGAGCTACTTAAAATGGCTTTCAGAGTGGACCCCTACCCTGGTATTAGTGTCAGGGAAAGTCTATCTCAAGCCACTGGCCTACCAGAGTCACGGATTCAGGTATGTAAATAACAATACAGATAACAAACAGTTTATAAATGTTTATATCATATTCATATATCAACATTCTAACGTAATTTTTTTTTCCAGGTGTGGTTCCAGAACAAGAGAGCCAGAACCCAAAAGAACAGAGCCACTTGGACCTCACCACAGCTAGACAGTACCTCTCCTCTGCCCAGCCCTTTCCTACCCCCTCACATGAATAGTGTTGGGGTCAGTGGCCAACAGAGAGGCAATCAAGAGTCGTCCTTCAACATTCAGATGTCTCAAACATCTCCTCAGCACTTTACTTTTCCTCCAAGTGACTACAGCACACCTGCCATTAAGCCTCGACAGAACAGGTTGATGGGAACCAGCTCTTGTTCTCCCTCTGATCTGCAAGCTATGGCAGACAGCTGGAGCTCTGGAGGATGCACACAGAGCTCTCCTGAGTCTACATGGAGTCTCCCAGTACAGAGTTTTGGGAATTCCTACGAGGATGAGAGTCATTTCTTCCTCTACCCACCACCTCCTTATCCTCATGGAAGTACCAGAGTTGGGTGTGTTAGTGGCCTGGAGTCACTTCCAACTTCTCCGGCCTCTTCTGATTCTGCATTTTGGGACATGGGACTGGAAAATTGCTCTCCATCTGTGCCAGGCACCGACTGTGGAAGCCCATGGAACAGCGTCGCTGAGGAGCAGCCTGTGGCCCCACTTCCAGTTCTGTCCTCACAGTATCTGGAGGATGTCCTTGGGGAAATGGAGCCAGCCTGGTGGAACTTCAATGGCCAGATGGATCTAAAGTAATCTAGCAAACATCCATAAACTAAAGGAGACTAACACTGTTTTAACATGGGGTTTAACTTGAGGGATAGGATTCTTTCTTTTTGAACTGTATTATATGGAAAGCATGGTATTGTCAAGTGCCGGTTACAGAGCAATATCAGATATCCACATTGGACATTTAATTACATTGGTTATTTAATGGACTTTATTTATTTAAATTTTCTACCAAGGAGTAGATTTTAAACAGTAGCCAACGGTTGCACCAAAAAGTAACTTATTGTAAACAGTAGCCTACGGTTGCACCAAAAAGTAACTTATTTATTTTTTATGCTCTTTTTAAGGTATTACAGTGCAGTTGGGATATTTATTTACATTTAATGAAGCTCACACAACCTATACTGTCACTTTGTAAAACAACCGATATTTATTTGAAATAAAATGTTAAAATGTATGATTTTTGTTGTTGTTGAATTCTTTGATTCCAAGGCGTTAGGAATCGAAAGTCAACTTTAAAAGTTTAAAGTTGATTCCCATGAGTGGAATGGTCTTTCGGACATGTCTGGACATATTACATCGATAACATACAGGGTGACGTTCTTCCCTACTATAGAGTACAAAAGAAGTACGTCCGAATTCAAGGTAGGCTACTCATAAAATAGTAGGCAAAAGTACCCGAATGGCCATATTTTTTCAGGCGAGATTCTGAAGTGTGCGATGGAAACTTTATCCCATGAGGCCACGGGAGAGGATTTGTGAATGGCAGTGAAGCAACATAACAGATGCTGGTAGGTCACATGATAAGACAGCATGGCAAGTACGTCCAGATTGCTTTCGTACCACACACACTCAACATACTTTTTTTTAGCGGCCGTGAATTACTTTAAAATAAGTAGGCTACCTCAAGAGAGGAAGTGATTTCAGACACAGCCTCAGTAGAGGGGATTTGGATTCAGTTCAGTGGTTTTTGATTCTTTTCATCAAAAAGAGTCGTTTTATGCGTTTCAAATTTGTTCACTGATATTTGTTCACTTATTTTCGCTCAAAATATCTATTAATTTAAAAAAATCAGATTCACTTAAAAGATTAATTGAGAAACCAATAATAATATCTCCACTCCATTTGTCATTTCCCAACACTATATGACATTTCCATTTTACCTCAAAGACCGCATGGTTATTTAACGAGTTTATGGTTTTCTGTTGCTAAACAACCTGTTATAACATTCGTTTTTACAAGTACCATAAAATCAACATCTAGGCATAATAATAAAGAAAAAGTATTTTGTGCGCGGAACGTGTGACACGGAACGTTCTTTCCAGGATCCTTTTTGACAAGACAGACTCTGTCGAACGTAACCCCTTCCGCCTCTCACCGGAAGCGCATAGCGCTACACACGTGTAAACAGTGGAGAGAGAATCACGTTGTGCGCTTGATATGAGACCATGATTTAACATCTTGAATTCTGCGATTATACGTGCAGCAGATTGAAATAAATAGTAACTGGACAAAGGTGAGCATTTATTTTCCTTACCTAAAAGTGGCTGCATTGATGATGATTTAAAGAAAAACGCGTTTATTCCTCAATTGTTCCAGCGTAAAATACCTGAAATTAAATTACAATAGGAAACCAGTGTCCAAATCGACCAATTCTATACGTGGTTCATGCATGTTTTGTTTTTATTGCTAGTTGTTTGGAGGTTACCAGTGGGTTTGACTAGATACACGATTCAATATGTTTATTTTATAGGGGTGCAACAATATATCGTTTCAAAATATATCGCAATACAAATATACAACAAAATGTGTTGTGGATAGTGACACTGTATTGTGTATAGTTTACCCAAAATAAAAAGTACTGTGTGAGAATAAAAATCAAGTTTAGTGTCAGCAATACGTTAAACTATTATTTATAATGTTGAATATAATGTATAATAATGCAATGGGAGAATATTTGTGGGTCATGATAATACCAAATGTCTTATGTTACCAGTAAAAAGTGGCCTACATTATTATATAAATAATATATCTTCTAGACAGTGACATAGTGCAAGCATATTCGTCAAAAATAATTGTATATGTTCAGCTTCAGAATCATCAATATTTTTATCCTCGTCACCATTGTCACTGTTTTAACATGGGGTTTAACTTGAGGGACATGATTCTTTCTTTTTGAACTGTATTATATGGAAAACATGGTATTGTGCAAGTGTTAACCAGCACCAAGTCCAAGCCTATTCATTTACACCCACAATGCAATATAAAATTTACCATTTTAATAAACAGTACATTTTTTGTTAAATTTTTGCCATTTGTCAATAATATTGTATCGTGAGTTCAGTATCTTGATGTGTATCGAATCGTGACATGAGGGTATCATTACACCCCTAGTAGTTTGTTCTGTCTCTAAAGCCAGTGTATTATTCACAATCATTGTGTTATAGATATGCGTAGGAAGTAAAGTCTTACTGATTCTGGATGTTCAGTAGGTAATGGTTTGACTTTAAATTGCTGGAGAATATCAATATGCACTGTAAAAACTGCAGCTGTCCCGGCAGCTCTTGCCTGGCTTTCCACTGAGGTTAAGCAGGGTTTAGGTAGTCAATACCTGGATGGGAGACATCTACATCATTCTGTGAAGTCAAATAAAGATCATTGCTGAATGCTGATAATCTGTCTTATCTCGTGAAGAGCAAAGATGGAGAAGAAAGAACAGAAGCGGCACCAGAATAAGCACAGTGGGCCCAAAGCACAGAAGAAGAACAGAAAGAAGGAGCATGGCACCGAACCAGAGCAGGATGAGCGCAAGAGGAACCCACGAGCGTTTAGTGTTAAGTCAGCTGTGCGCATGGCAAAAACCTTCCATAGGTCAGTGCTCAGAAAACTTCATTCATTTATCCTATTAATGAGTGAAACATTTTCATATTAATCCTTTGCCATTCCCTTTGCTCTGATAACTTTCATATTTATATTTTAAGTAAAATTATGTGTCCATTCTTTGCTTTTAATCTCTTTTAACATTATTTTGTAGGGCTCAGGATATTAAAACAAAGAAACATCACATTCCCCTGGTAGACCGGACCCCTCTGGAACCCCCGCCTATTGTTATAGTGGTGATGGGACCTCCAAAAGTGGGCAAAAGCACCCTTATTCGATGCTTGATCAAAAACTTCACACGGCAGAAGCTTTCTGACATCTGTGGACCCGTGACTATAGTATCTGGTCAGTTTTGTAATGCATATTAAAAAACGTATGTAAAATAGTTTCCATTTACACCTGATATTAACATCCACCTTGGGTGTCGCATGTCAAAAATCAAATGTCACATTTGCGGTAAGATTAAAACTGATGTATACTTCAGAGCAACAGCGTACTGACTTTTTCAGACAGAATCAATAAGCTGTGAGGTGACTTTTTTTCTTGTAAATGTTTATAGGAAAGAAACGCCGCCTGACCTTCATTGAGTGCAACAATGACATCAACACCATGATTGATTTGGCAAAGGTTGCTGACTTGGTGAGTGCAAGCCTGCATCATTTCTATTTCAATGTTTTAAAATATAATTTATTCATGTTATGGTAAAGCTGAATTTTCAGCAGTCATTACTCTAGTCTTCAGTGTCACATGATCCTTCAGAAATCATTCTAATATGGTGATTTGGTGCTCAGGAAACATTTTTCATTGTTGAAAACTAGGGATCGACCGATATGGATTTTTTAGTGCCGATACCGATACCGATTTTTTTTCCCATCAGCCTTAGCCGATGACCGATACGGGCTGCCGATTTTCTTGAGCCGATATTTGGAGCCGATACATTTTGCTCCCTCAATTTACATCATAAAAATGACATGATGTTAACTAGTGATCGACCGATATATCGGCCGGCCGATATATCGGGCCGATATTTGCGTTTTTTACGTGTATCGGAATCGGCCGATATGCGGCTGCTGCGTTCGCCGATAGTTTTTTCCCGGCATTATTTATAGACAGGCGTCCACAGGCAGCTCTGTGCTGCTGGAGACGCTGCAGTTCACGTGCAGACCCTGCACTGTCCCTCCCCCACTAGCAGAGTGCAACCTGCGCTTCAAGATAACGGTAACTTTTAAACTTTCAAAGCATCTTTTAACTGTTTGACTGCTGAAATATTGTCAAACACTTTGAAAATGGAAACACGTTGCTTTATAACTGTTATGTGGTTGCAACTATATAGCTAAGCAAGTTTGTGGGTCCAAATGGAAAACGCGAATGACTCGTCTATAAAACTGCTTGCTTGCCATTGTATTTAGGGAGCTGCAAATAGCTGTAGGCTATCCGTTCAGTATGCATTAGGGCTGTCAATGAATATTCCAAATACGAATATATATTCGAATAGTTTAAAAAAAACTGAATTTTGAAGGTGAAAATTAATATTCGAATGTGGAAAAACACGCCCGCGGTAGCAGACTAACGTTACCACAGCACAGCTCGCTCGGAGCGCTCAGTGTCGGTTCTATGTTCTGTGAAACTTCAATTAATGTATTTGTTTCAATCACTGAATGAAGCCTGCTATATACCTTAAATTGCTTGCACAAAACTCTTGATCAGCACTCAACATTTGTTTGTTGTTGTTCATTTAAACCGGTATGCGCGGAGAGCGTGAGGGTGAGTGCGAGAGAGAGAGAGAGAGAGACACTGCCTGCGAGTCCGGGCGAGCCAGAGTGAGCTCTGCGGTCTTGGCCATTAGTTGATTTACTCGTTTTTTTTGTAGTAATACGTTGTCAAATATGTTTAAACTCAAATAAGCTACTTAATACTATTAGTTATGTCTCTTTGTATTAATTTGTCCTGTTATTGACGTAATGCGCGTCATTGACCAAATGCACGACGATATGCTCAAGTATGTTTTTTAGAGGGAATATACAAACGCCATTTGAACAATTTTGACAGCCCTAGTATGCGTACGGTAGCTGTTACGAACACTGGTCATAGGATTAAGTAATACCAACGTTGTTCCGTGCTTTTTGCGACCACCTGGCTGAGGTTTGGACGCGTGTGGTGTGTGTCTCCCTTGCCATCGCAGTGATATTAGAGACTAG